GGTCACAGTCGGAGGGCTTCTGGAGTTCTTGCCCCACTGGTGGACCTCCTGATGACACCTGGGTTTTGGCCACTATGTGACAAAAAGTGCTGGAGTGGATGGGCCATTGGCCTGATCTAATATGGGTTCTCTTATGTCCTTTAAATGGCTAGTTCTGAGATCACCTAGTCAGCTCCGGTGCTGAACAGGGATTTGAACTTGGGTCTTTCCAATCCTAGCCATAGCATGTACATTGCACAGGCTCTGAAATATAAGTACACTGAAGTTAAATCAGTTTTAATTGAACCTTTATTTCTATTTCCGGAGTGAGCAGGCAGCAGATCTACTATCGCATGCACATCACCCGGATGTGACGTCATGACGCCGGGCACGCTGGGGGTGCGGCCACAGCCATTTGAGGGGGAAACTCTATGTTTTCCCCTCAAATGGCTGTAGCCCTGCCCCCAGCGTCATGACGTCACATCCAGGTGACGTGCACGCTGGGGTGGGTTTTCCCCCAGGGCCCGATTTCGCGGCGTCGGAAATCGGGCCTCCAAAGTGGGGGGAAATCCGCCCCCCAGGGGGATTTGGCAGCCCTATGAAGAAGCCAAACAGGAGGTGGGGAATGAGAGAAAAATCTGTTACACTGCCAGCTCAGTTCATACAGGGTTTGCACTTACAGAGGGGATGGCTGAAAATACGTGGTCTTAGGGCCCAGTTTCTGGGGAACACTGGCTGAAGGTTTGTGGTTTTTAAGAAGAGCTCACATTTACACTGTGGGAGTCCTGAGTGTGAGGGACAGCCAATATTCACCTCAAGAACAAACAGCTTGGCTGTTCTGTGCAACCAGGAGAACTGAAATGTTATAACTTAATGAACCCAGCAAAAGCTGTATGTTACCTATAAATAGTTGTAAAGCCTCTTTACCGACCATCCTTTACTTCCCTATCCCTGGTAGTAAATGAAAGTTAGTTTGTTTTTTTTAATCCTGTTTCCCTGATGTCTCATGAAATAACTGCATTTAGAGAGCCAATTGGGTTCAGTCTGTTAAGAGAAGGCTGAGACCACTCTGGATGTACTACACAGCTTGCTACCACTGTGTAAATGGCATTTAAAACCCTGACCTCCATAACTTGATACTGAAAAGGCTACTATTACATGAATTCTCTTGCTGATTCTCCACACCACTCAGCTCCATGCTGCCAGCTTCCTTTCCCACATTATGTTGGAAATATTTTTTGAACAAGCTCTACCCTGGAAAACTGCTTCAATTACACTGTGCTTGAAACTCTACCCATATTTGTATTTTATTTGTATTCTATTAAATAACTATATTGTATCCATTTATATGTATTTGATGTTTGTAGTTTTGTTTCTCTTCAATTTTCTCTTCAGCTTCAGTTAAGTTTCTGTCTTTTGAATCTGCATCATGAAGAAACTACTTTCATGAATCACAGAAAGTGTCCTTAATAGATCTTGTATGCCTGATGCACATTTTACTAAGTTAACTAAACTTTGGCTTAGATCCAAACATGCCCTTCTGTCAGTGCACAGCTCCTCTGACTGAATTGCTTTTCTGTCTGCAGAGGATGGTAGGGAGATTTTTTTTGCCGATTCTCCTCTCCTGTTCTAGACTCCCAGTTTGCTCTCCACACTGATCCTTCTGGTGCACTGATGCACACAAACACAATTTTTTTAAGGGCACAGAAGACAGCAATGAGAGATAGAGGTGGGGAAGTTGTAGGCTTGCCAAATACCCCGGGGGGCGGGGAAACCCCCGCCCCAGAGGCCCGTTCCCTGCTGGCGGCAGATCGGGCCCCAGGGGGAACCCCACCCCGACGTGCGCGTCACCAGGAAGTGACGTTAGGATGCCGGGCACGCTGGGGGCGGGGCCACGACCATCGGAGAGAAAACTCTATAGTTTTCCCTCCGATGGTCGTGGCCCTGCCCCCAGCGTGCCCGGCGTCCTAACGTCACTTCTTGGTGATGTGTGTGGTGTGCGCGCACACTCCAGTCGCCGCCTGGGAGTCCCCCGCTGCGGCTGAGAAACCACTTGGCAACCCTAGGAAGTTGCCCTCCTCTAGTGGAACGATTAGACCCCCTTCCCTGTGGGTTGGATCCTATGAATCACAACCGATCTTACCCTGCCTTTCCCTTCCTCCAGCAGCTCTCTACCTGCTGAAAAGTCAACACTGGAGATTCCCTCAGTGGCTGCACTGGCTCTTAGGAGTGGTGGGGGAACAAGAAGGCAGGGGAAGATCCACTGTCATGTGCCTTATGCTAGTGGTTTTCAGGAGCCCACTTAATGCATGCAATAAATCTTCCATGTATTGATTTGATACATTTATTATGCTTTGCAGTACACACTGGCTCTAAAACTCACTAAAAAAGATGTGGGGGCAGTGGTATTTCATATCCTATTCCAGTTTGGGCAAGTTGGGAGAAAAGAAAAGGAAAAAAACAAGAGTCAGTTATTAGCAGGTAGTACCATTTTCATTATAATGCAAAGCATAACCAGAGTATATCAGGCGGCCTGTTTTAGTTCAAAACTTACATGAGCATCATTTCTATGCACGTAGCAAGATTCTCCCAGGAATAACACGTCAGCACTTCGAGCTGTGTGGTCCAAGATGGAGATATCTCAAGGCAGATACGGGAGGCACCCACACAAGCAGCAGCCACCAGGGAAGGCTGGAAGGAGAGGAAAATGTGATCTGGAAGACACAAGAAAAGGGGCAAGATTAGTATCTAATACAACCAACGCCAATCAGCTATTCCCTGTAGACTTGACAGCCAGCTGAAGTGATGCAAGTATTTTGTGCTGGAAAGTGGGGCAGAAATACATAAAAAGTATAAATGTTCTAACAGTGAACAAAGATATCAGAATGGATTCAGAGAAAATTAGTTCAGGCCCACTGTTGTTGCTGTTAAGTCTACTGTACTGCTGCAACCGAGCAAAAAGATGGCGCCGAGAGAGGAACTCCGCCGCAGCCCTCTGTGAGCAAAAGTCTAGTTGGTCCTAATTTCTTCTGCTTTGTCTCCCTTCAAGTATTTAGTCGGCCTCTCAACTCTAAACAGAAGTGACTCCTTATCTTTAGAGGAGAGAGAGAGAGAGAGAGAGAGAGAGAGAGAGAGAGAGAGAGAGAACACAAACATTTTCTCTCAGTAAGCTCTGGAGCAATGTTCCCTCTAAGCTGTGGATTCGTGTGAGCAAAAATTCTACTTTGTGAGCTACTGGCACTAAAGTTGTGAGCGAACACTTTGGCTCCTGCATAAATTAGTTTGCTCTGGAGCCCTCCTTCCTGAGCCAAGACAAAAATGTGTGAGCCGGAGGGTAAAAAACTGTGAGCTAGCTCACACTAACTCAGCTTAGAGGGAACACTGCTCTGGAGGTATCCATAAGTGAAATTGTTGCAAAGTAGAGCAACTATTTATATACTCGGCTTTCTAATTACTCTCCGAGCCCTACTCATTTTCCAAATTTAACCAGCCTCAGCATCTTTTATATTCTCCCATCTTTGGCTAACACCTTCACGCACTGAGCAACTCCACAAGGCTACAACTGGGAGCTCATACGCAACTCCATAGTAGCTACATAGTACCCGGAATGAGGCAAACAAAGAGGTCTCGAGATCCGGAGGACCCAACTACACCTCCCAACTGCAAACAGAAAAAGATAGAAAACTTTTTTAAAGCAAAGAACGAAGCTGCTTACACCATTCCTGTTACCAATCGCTATGCTCCTCTAGCTGACACTTTCAACTCCGAGGAAATTCCCGCAGAAGCTGAAAACGAGCAGCAGGCAAACAGACCAGCAGAGGTTGCGGCAGCAGAGGGAGTTGCCAGCACTGCAACAGATTTCTGCCATCTGACAGCAAAAACAGTGGGTAACACCTTTGGACTGTTAAAACAAATTTTTGCAAAACTGGAGTATTTCAATCATGTCACAAAGACTGTGCTGGAAGCAACAGGGCTGGCCAATGGAAATCCTTCTAGGCAAGATCACAGAAGCCGAGACTGGGACCTGAAACAACCTAAAGAAAATAAGGAGCAGTACAAACTGGTTCTACAACTGCAAAAGGTATGACTAACAATCTGCAGATATAAAGGACAGCTGCCTAACCGGAAGCTGAAGGAGCAAGTCACCTCTCATCTAAGATCTCTATTTCTGGAAATTCAACTCCTGATAGATCTAGTTTCAACTGAGATACTAAACTGCACAAACCAAGCACAGAGAGTGCTGCTGACTTTCAAATTCCCCAAAATACCCACAATACTTCTCCAACAGAGATCCTTCCTGGCAGGGGTCATTTCGTAGAAAAAGAGCTAGGGGGACTCATTAGCATAACTCATTAGCATATGCCACACCCCCTGACATCACCGGAAGTGTGTCCTCCCCACAGCCGGCGGCGACCTCCAGCGGGCACCAGCAGGGAGCTCCAGGCCCTGCCCTCCCGCATCTCACCCGGGGGGATGGCGTCCCCCCGCGTCCCCCCTAAATGACCCCTGCTTCCTGGGCAGCAAATGGATCTTCCCAGCAAGAGTCTTCAGAAACACCTGTGTGTCCTCTCTATTCCCAACACTGTAGAAATTCAGAACCCCAACAGATACCACCGTAGAGGACTTACCACCGAGAACCAGGCCAACTCTGTCTCTTGATGAAGAAGTAACAACTATTCCATACAAAGACATCCAAGACACCAAAGAAGGTGAAGAGGAAGATTGTTACCTAAACAACTCATTGGAAGAAGGTCTAATTAATTCCTTCCCTGGCCTACCAGCAGCCGACCAACTAGCCATTATAGCAGACAAAGACACCCAAGACGCCAAAGAAGGTGAAGAGGAAGATTGTTACCTAAACAACCCATTGGAAGAAGACCTAATTAATTCCTTCCCTGCCCTACCAGTGGCCAACCAACTAGCTATTATAGCAAGAATGAACTGGATGTGCATTCAACTCTGAAGATTAAAGGAATCCTCACCAGCTCTTATCCATCAAAAGGCACCAGGCAATGACTTTCTTCCACTCCCTCCCTCAACGATACTGCCAGTGCCACCTAGCAAGCATGTAATAAAGTGTGCTATCCACAACGAGCCAGTTCTCACCACCCAGATGTTGGAGCATGATCTGGAAAGTCATCTCAGCACCTGCCCTGCCCCTCACATGCAGGACTATCAGGTGGCAAAGAGGAACAACTGCATTTTTCACGACACGGGAGGGGAGCTGGAAAGAATCTCCAAGGACTGAATTAAAAATTCTGTCCTGGAATGTGGGAGGGTGGCATAACAAACTCCACAACCCTGATTTCTTAAAACTTTAAAGACAATCCGATATAGTGTTTATCCAAGAAACTTGGGTTCAAGACACTTCTCTAACAAGCCTCCAAGGCTTCAGAACATATGCAAGCACTGAAGTTAAGTCCCACCACAAAGGCCGAGGGAGTGGTGGATTAGCATCACTTATTAACGTAGACTTAAAAGCTGAAATCCAAGTCATTGATAGCATCTGGCCCCATTACATACAACCATTATTGGTCAAGGACCAGCAAGTAGGTAACCTCTTGTGTGTCAATGTATATTTGCCCCCCAAACACAACAAAATGCAAGACAAGGAGAAAATTTGGGACCAGTTTGTTACCATCCTTGAACACCTATTGGCCGAATACCCCAAAGTTAAAATAATCTTATGTGAGGATTTTAACACAAGGATTGGCCCAGGTTGTTTAGCACCTCAAGGGAATCTAGATGCACAGGCTGCTGAATGTGCTTCTTTACTAGATTGTCAATCCTCAGACCCTGTAGTCAACAGGCCAGGCTTAAAACTCCTTGAGCTACTCGCCCTATACAACCTGTACATTTTAAATGGGACCAAGTATGACTCTTCTGACAGGTCCTATACATATTTATCTTCACTTAACACGAGCACAATCAATGATATAGTAATTTTCCCCAATTTATTGAGGCAACTTTAAAGTGAGGGATAGTAGCTTAAGTGACCATTGCCCCTTAGAACTAATTTTAAATTTTAACAACCGAATTTTCTTAACCCTGACACCTGACCCTACCGAGGATTTATCACCTGGCTTCAGGAGACATAGTCGGACTGCATAAAACTATTGCACAAGCTCTCGAGGGAACAGAACTCAGTGGCAGTCACCAGTCTCTTCTACAGTCAGACTCCAATGAAATTCATTACTACGAAGATATAATTCTTACCCTTAAATCTTTGTTGACTAACTATAGATCTCCCAAACAATATATCCACCCCAATAATGTTTGGTTTGATCAGGAATGTAGGGATTTTAAAAAGAAGCTAGCCAGACAAATGAAACACACTTGACGCTATAAGGACCCGAAACGAATACAACAACTAATTAAGTTCAGAACTCAATATAGCAAGGGGGAAAAGAGGAACCCGCTTTTGGGAGCTAGTCTCATTCAGGCTTGGAAGATCACTCTCCTAAATAGACACCCAAATCTCTGGAAACTCTTGGCTCAGCCACTTCTCTGCCATCTATCAATCCCCTACCTCTCAGATCAGGTCAATAGAAACAAAGAAATGGGCCTTTAATTACAATCTGCAAATGTTACCAGATTGGCCAGCAGTAACTGTGGCTGAGGTCAAAAACTTAATCTCCTCTTTAGCTTTAGGTAAATCCACTGGGGAAGACTCAGTTCCCACAGACCTGATCAAAGTCTTCCCCAACTGGTGGGCCCCAATTTTTGCCAGACTATTTACTCAAATAAATAACTCTGGTCTATTTCCTGCTGGGTGGAAAACCAGCATAGTGGTCCCCATCCATAAAAAAGGTGATAAGTCGATCCCAAGTAACCACCGCCCAATATCTGTCCTTGACACAGCATCAAAATTATATGGAAAATATCTACTAAGGAAGTTAGAGGAATGGGCTACAGACAATCTACATCCCCACCAAGCAGGTTTCCGCAGAGGCTGAAGCACAACAGACCACTGCCTCACACTTTACCAACTAGCCTATTTGGCAATGAAAGGTCCAACCAAAGCCCTGTATGTGATATTTGTAGATTTAGCAACAGCCTTTGATCCCATAGACAGAGACCATTTATGGGAAAAACTCAGGAAGACAGACACAGACAAAAGACTGTTGGCGCTGATTCATGAATTGTATTCTGGCACGCTTGTAAAGATCAGAGTGGGTACCTCTGGTTCCCTGACTAGAGGATTCCTCACGGTAAGAGAGGTAAAGCAGGGATGCGTGCTAGCTCCCTTACTCTTCAACTTATTTATCGATGACATTGTAGAAAGACTATCTGACTGGAAATTTGTTCTACCCTCACTTAACAATCAGAAGATCTCTCTTATCTTATATGCAGATGACATGGTCTTGATTTCCTCAACCAGAGTGGGTCTGAGGAAGTTGCTGAATGGCCTGGGGGACTATTGCTCAGAAGAAAACCTGAAAATAAATTACACTAAAACAAAAGTGATGGTCTTCCGTAAAAGGCCAAAAAGTTGATCAATGCAAAACCTACAAATATTTGGGCATAACTTTCCATGAATCCTTGAACTGGAATGCCCACATACCTTTAACAAAAACAGCCGCTTTCAAGACCATAGGTGCAATAATGGGATTCTTCCACAACAAGGGCGGCTACCTCATAGACCCAGCCATCAAGCTTTACGCTAGCAAGGTCATCCCTCAAATACTTTTTGGTGTTGAAGTATGGGGATGGCAAGATCAAGCTCTTAACAGGCTGGAAATAATCCAAAACAACTTTATGAGATGCATCTTGGCCCTCCCAAAGGGGACACCAGCAGCCATGATGAGAGCTGAGCTTGGCTTACCCTCAATAAGGGCTCGTGCACAAGTTCCTTTAGCAACCCTAGCTTCCATATTCTGCAGACTATCGACCCAGCCCGTCTTAGCACGCTATCCAATACCATTGCTAAATACACACTCCCCTCAGATAACAGCTCACAATTGCGGGATTGGGTTTACAATGAAAATACTCTAACTGACAAATCCCTAATCAGTCAACAGAAATTTGCTCCACGGTATTCAGCATTTAAAACAGACCACTCCAGGGCCTCTTATCTGGCCCTTATTTCAATTTACAGCATAAGAAGGGCTTTTACTGCTCTTCGTTTTCAGACCATGCCATCTGAGCTGCTAAAAGGACAATATTTCAAAACCCCGTATGACCAACATATCTGTCTGTGCAGGACTTTGGTGGAAGATTCAACACACTACATCTTAGAATGCCCTCTGTATACTGGCCCTAGAATCAAATTCCAATTCTTACAACCCTGCAATCCACATCAGTAACTTTTTTACTTTTGGCTGCCAATTCCACCATTTATTATAGAATGGCACTATATGCCCATGCTGCAAGGAAAATTAGAGACAGGGCTATGGATTGACTGCACTTTTAGAATACATTATTAAGTAACTTGATCTTATACTTTTACTTCGTTTATATATTTTATATTGTGTCGCCAACACTTGTACTGCTTTGATAATATATATTGTGATGGCCAATGACTATACGCAAGAAACTTTTATACTAGAACTAGGTATTTAATACATAACCGCCATCAGATCCCAGATTATGAGCTGTTTGTGGATGCAATTTTAAACACAATTTCTAAGGAAGCAAATCCCATTGAAATCAGTGCAATTTACTTCCAAATACTTATGGACAACGTCATGATGTATTAATGTTTGAGAAACAAAAATTTCATGTCTTGGTTTTTGGCTCTTCCTCAATTCTGTCTGCAACACAGCAGGTAACCTTTAGCAATTTTCAATGTTTCTTCATTCTGAAGAGAGAGCAGGAACCTCAGACCTTGAGATCTAGAAACTCTAACTGCTTAACTTTGCACACACTTGGGTTTTTTGGCTTGCAGGGAGAGAAAAGCCCTGGTCTCAGCTGCAGGCGATTATATTCAGCCCACATTCTGGCTTCTTGCACTAGTTGCTGCCCGTGTTCCCTCTAAGCTGAGTTAGTGTGAGCTAGCTCACAGTTTTTTAGCCTCTGGCTCACACATTTTTGTCTTACCTCAGGAAGGATGGCTCCAGAGCAAACTAATTTGTGCAGTAGCCAAATAGCTCGCTCACAACTTTAATGGCAGTAGCTCACAAAGTAGAATTTTTGCTCACAAGACTCCACAGCTTAGAGGGAACATTACCTCACAGCCTAAGTGCCACAGGAGAGAGGAAGTGAGAATGTGACAGATTTTCAGGGTGTGGCATTCAGCACTAATGTCCGTGTTCACGTATCAACCTTGTATACAGAAGTCCTAAATGAGACTACATTTTGGAGCTTGAAAAACTGACCCACTAGATGCGAACCATCAGCTGGCAAAGCATGGCTCCACCCACCTGATCCTAAATACACATTTATCAGAGGCCATTAGCAGCAACACACACTTTAAGACAGAGATAGGAGCATCCTTGGTGAAGAACACTTCCAGTCTCAAACTATGACCTTCAGGAGCAAAAGATTCCACCTCTTTCCTCCAACAGCACCACATACTGCCCTTTGGACAGCATTTAATAGGCACAACCTAGGGGCATTTTCATTACACTGACTAGACCTTTTCCCTATACTCCAATATTTGTTCCAAGCCTAGTTGAAGCCACATTTGCCTTAGAATAACACAGCCTCTCCACAACACTGGACCAAGAAATTACCTTGCAGGGAGACTTTCAGGAAATAGTGAGCATATTTCTCCATGAAAACTCTGACTTTGGTTACGGATGTAATAGGCCAGCCGTTGTGTAGGTCAGTCTCGCTAACAGAGGCCAAGAGGTAGTAGTCAATGTAGTGTGCTGGCGTTGGCAGGCAGAGATTCCAGTTGAAACTTTCCAAGAGCAGCAGTTCCATCTTCAACAGGTCTTTTTTCGTAAGCACCGGGTTGAGGCAGAACAAGGAAGCAAAGCTGTTCAGCTGCTCCAGCTTTGGCACTCTGTCTTCTTTTTCTTCAAATTTGCCTGTTGAGATGAAAAACATTTCTGAATGAAATGATCATCTTCTTTTCTGTATGCTTCGTACATATAAAATAGCCTGAACTCATTTTGTACAAACGACTTCCACCAGCAGAAATGCTCTGGTGGATCCAAGTCTCATCTAACTAACCACCATTAACTGACTGTCTAAACTTACGTCAACATACTGTGGTTCATTCAGGTTCCTCAAACCAGGACCTGAAGCTAGTTTACTAGCCACAGTCTTCACTGTCTTTTTGCACTATGTATGAATGTAGTCTCCTGGCTTGTTTTCCTGC